GATCCGCGCCAAGGGAGGACTTGGAAAGTGGGTGAAACGGTGCACAAACAGACTGTTTGAGTGCGTCTTTATGAGCCTTCTTTTCAATGCTCCGTCTTTCTCGGGTTCCACTAACTCGAGGTGAATTTTCGGCATTTCTTGAATTCGGGAACCAGACCTAATATCTTCCCATTTTCCTATTTACTATAATTTTAATTTGAATATGATTCGAAATAGAAAAAATAAATCTATTTTAAGAGGTGGTGGTGGGAAAGGTCAATGTAGGTTCCGATATTTTGTTATGGATATTTCCACAATGACATGAATGGTAGTATAATAATTCATTACTATCATGATATTACAAGATTTAAAGAAAATATGTATTTTAATATTTGTTTTAAGTCTTCATTTCCTTATTAATTCAACATATTTTCTATTTGTTGTGTTTTCTTGTAAAAATATCAAACAACCACACAAATAATTATTTGTAATCAGATCAATCAAATTGTTATCACTTAATACTCAATTTACCCCAATTTTCTGTTGAGTTAACTTTTGACATTCAAAAACAAACATTTTAATTATTGTTGTTTGTCTTTGTTGTTGATTTATATAAACTCCTTGTTGAACACACCAAAGTCATAATAATAGTTATGTTTCAACAAAAAACAAAAATATTGTGTTTTAATGTTTCAGCATAGTTCAATTATTTATTTTATTGCAACTAATGATTAAATATATATTATATTCAATAAATATATCTTATATATCGTTTATATTAATTGTATAGACAATAATTTACTTATTTCATTTCTAATGAATGAGATAATTATATAATTAATAACCAACTGTTAATTTTTATTATATTGTCAATTTATTATTAAGTTTTATTAAATAATCAAGGTTTAATTGTTTCCCTTTTTTCATCGTAAAAATTGACTTGCATATTTCGTTGTAATGTAAACTATTTATAATTTATTAATAGTTTTAAATATAAAAAACTTTTTTTGGTAAATAAAAAATTAATAAAAAGTGTTATTTTTTTTAGAAAAATACTTTTCATTATTTTTTGTTGGCTTTCAAAAGATTTAGTTTTAAATCTATTTATTGAAAAAATAAAAAAGTTTATTTTTCTACTAAATAATTACTTTAAAATTTGCAAACTATTTTAAAAACATTTAGAAAAAAATATAAACGTTTCTATTTCAACAAACTTAAATAAATGTTTTAAATCGTTTATTTGGTTGTTTATACAAAAGAATGTTCCTTCTTCTCAATCATTTATTACAATTTAAAAATACAATGCAATACTTTATTGTAATAATCCGTACAATAATCCCGAATTGTATAATAATCAACAGCCACAATCATGTTTAAAAAACAAAAAATTTCTTTTTTTAATAAATAAAGTCCAACATTACTTTTAAACTCATTTTGTCGAAAGTGTTTTATTTGAAGAATAATAAAAAGTATAAAAAACGAAAAAAATGAACTTGTATCTGTGATTTTATGCCACTTTCATTCTTCCTTGTCTTTTTTGTGATTTCACGAATTCGAGGAGATTGCTATGTTGAGTCAGGAAATGATTATGTGACAATAGGAGATAATATGATGAACATTGGTACTTATTGTGAAGATCTTGGACTGGAAAAAGGCAGCCGCTCTTCTTACCTATCCACTTTCAATTATCACATCGTTCATGACTTCCAGTACAAAACGTTTGCTTCGAAGAACTTCTGTAATGACATTTGGGTCGACAGATATCCAACTGCTGTTTTTGACACGTGGAGAATACTGAAATGGAATCCTTACACTGAAAGAACCAATAGAACAGCAATTTATTGGATCAAGTACTTACCCGATTTGTTTACGTTCAACTTCGTTGTATTTAAGATGAACCAATTCATGGACAATTTTGGTAAGAGTTGTGTTGATGACTTTTATATCGACTTGGATCAATGGAACGTCTTTTATACATTGGACGATGAAGATACAAAACCACAATACACTAAATATATCGCGTTCAGACAACCAGAATACCCGTTGTCGCAACACCCAATCACTATACTCACTACTTCTGTCGCGGTGTATTTAAACGATTTCCAGTACCCAAATAGATGTGTTTACTCAGTGTCTACACTCAAAAGCTTG